GAAACAGACACAACTATAGGACCAAATGACATGAAGAAATCAATTAATTCTTGAAATGAAACTTTTTTGAATCAAAGAAATCTTATTTCCCTGGATCCCATAGATTGAGCTGCTGATTACTTGGTAAAATACAGAATTCTCTGGTCACAGACACAGTTCTCTAGTCACAGACAGAATTCTCTGATCACAGACACAGTTCTCTAGTCACAGACAGAATTCTCTGGTCACAGACAGTTCTCTAGTCACAGACAGAATTCTCTGGTCACAGACACAGTTCTCTAGTCACAGACAGAATTCTCTGGTCACAGACACAGTTCTCTAGTCACAGACAGAATTCTCTGGTCACAGACACAGTTCTCTAGTCACAGACAGAATTCTCTGGTCACAGACACAGCTCTCTAGTCACAGACAGAATTCTCTGGTCACAGACACAGTTCTCTAGTCACAGACAGAATTCTCTGGTCACAGACACAGTTCTCTAGTCACAGACAGAATTCTCTGGTCACAGACACAGTTCTCTAGTCACAGACAGAATTCTCTGGTCACAGACACAGTTCTCTAGTCACAGACAGAATTCTCTGGTCACAGACACAATTCTCTAGTCACAGACAGAATTCTCTGGTCACAGACACAGTTCTCTAGTCACAGACAGAATTCTCTGGTCACAGACAAAGTTCTCTAGTCACAGACAGAATTCTCTGATCACAGATACAATACTTTAGTCACAGATAAAATTCTCTGGTCACCAATATAATTATCTGGTCAGGTAAGAGAGATAATTCTTCAGTCACAGTTAAGATCTCTTTTCACAGATACAGATTCTCTAGTCTAGCCCTTAATATAATTATATGGTCAAAGATATAATTTTCTGGTCACCAATATGATGCTCTGGTCACAGATATGACTCTCTGGTCACTTTTGTCACAAATACAATGCTTTGGTCACAGATGTAGTTCTCTGGTCACACATAAAATGCTTTGGTCACAGAGAGGTAATTCTCTGGTGACAGATACAACTTCAGGTCACTGACACAATTTTTGGTCAAATTTTTCCATCAATTCTTAAGATCTTCATGTAACAATCTAAAATAGACATCAAACATATGTTCCTATCTAGGTTTATTTTATCTTGTGTAAGTGACACAAAAACAAATTTTTATAGTAAAGAGACTGCTACAATAATGTCCCCAAAAATACCCCTACCATCATAAACAAAGCTAATATTGAAATATCCTCTTAACCAAATTTGAAATTTTGACCAATCAGAGGTCAGAAAAGAGCAGCCATTTTGTTGTATCAACCAACCATAAATCACATTAATGTTCATTGTGCATTTTTGTGAAGAAGTCATTCAATCATAAAAAGTTGTTGCATACACATCGGCAATGTCTGATGGATATCATTGCACACTATTGCATAATCTCATTTGCCCATTGAACAGGTGGGCTACATTACCTAGTACAGAAAATCATATACACACTGAAGTGTTTCTATTTAAACTTCATGAATCTATTTTAGGAGCACCATGCATCACATATACCATAGATAAATCGAAATTTTGGTTAAAATACTTCACAAAACAATGCAGAATTGACAATAAACACAAATTGGTACTTGACAAATTTGGCAGCTATTCAACAATGTGGAAATGAAAGCTGTGAAAATTTACAGCTATGACTTTCCTGAATGTAATACACAAAACAACTACACCCAAATGTTAGCATGAACATAAATTGTGAAGACTGGTTACATGGCAGACAGAAAGCCTTGGTGGAAAAGTTCATTGATTATTACTGTAGAGAGTTAGTGGCTAACATCTTTGTCAGAGTTACACTTAAAGAAGCTCAAGTGTGGGAGAACACCCCTTGTAAAACAAATCTTAAAAGTCAATGGAGCCAAACCTATTTTTGATTCCTTCTCCTCTTACTACTTCTTGTAGCATTGGTCAGCTTTTAATTATACCAGAGGACTGCATTTCTGTAAATGGTTGATCTATTCCTGACAGGGAAAATAAAAGCATTCTCTTGGTATTTGATATGACAGAACTTATACAGAATGGACCAATCCCTCAGGGTGAAAAAAATTTTAATTTGTCTACAGAATATTAAAAAGTTTATGAAATGAATTGGCAACTAATCTAATAAGTAACTATCAACTGTAGCTGTGATAGATGAAGACTCCATCTTTACAATGTATGGGTGATGTGACTGTGGATTCCCTTCAGAAATAAAAAAAACTCAGTAGTTTTAATACAGAGGAGCTCTGATACTCTCATAGCCAGATTGTCTATCATTAACAAAGGATGCAAACGTAGAAATCTACCAAGTCTGTACACATACAGCTTAATATATGTCTAGTCTCACTGACTCCACTGTGATGTATACTCAAAAATGTAAAAAAAAAAATAAAAAAAGTGTTTTCCTAATGCAACAGATTTTTTTTATCAATGTGTATCAAGCCACATATACCCTAAAAATTTATTCAGCAATACAAGTCTGTTTTATTAAACACTAAATTACTAAGACTATCAAAAGCTAATACACAACATATCATAACCCTACCAGGACAATACAGAACATATTTATGCTTCATGATTTCTAATTATTTTTCTTCAGACTATGCTCAGATATCTGTTTACACCAATGAATCCTTTGATGTCCATACAACACAAATCCATATTCAATAAATCCACCAATATCTGCATTGAATCCACGATCCAATTAATCCTCCATTATCTATATTCTATAAATTAAAAATAAAATAAAAATAAATATCCTGATAGTCCTCAGGAATCCACATCCCATTAACTTTCTGATGTCCACATCCCATTAACTTTCTAATGTCCATATCCTATTAACCTTCTGATGTCCACATCCCATTAACCTTCTGATGTCCACATCCCATCAACTTTCTAATGTCCATATCCTATTAATATTTCTTATTCCATAAATCCACAACAAAAATATCCTGATAGTTCTCAGGAATCCACATCCCATTAACCTTCTGATGTCCACATCCCATTAACCTTCTGATGTCCACATCCCATTAACCTTCTGACGTCCACATCCAATTAATATTTCTTATTCCATAAGTCCACAATTTTCCTTTATTGTCCATAAATTCTTGGATATCTGTATTCCATTAATCCTAGAGATCTATTTCCTTGTTAACTTTAGATACCTGTATGCCAGTAACTCCTGTAGACCCAGAGCTGTTCTAGATTTATATCTATATTTGGTGTGTCCTAGAACATCCTTTTTTAGGACTAAGTCATTGTGTCATGTTTGGTCTTAGATCTTCTGTATCCTCATATATCTTTTTTATATATAATAATAACATATCTTTATCGCATTTATCTCTAGATAACTACACCTAGTTTATCTTGGATATCAGCATCTTATCATCCCTCAAGTATAAAACAATCTGAGCCAATACAGACTCATAACAATACAATCAGCACCTATACAACCCCTTAATATATAGGTTACACACATGGAAACAGTAAGTCATCAGCTGTATATATATACATAAGTATGGAAGTACTTAGTATAGTAAGTAGGACATACACTCTCCCCATGGTGATGTATAAGAAATATGTAATCTCTTCAATATAAGCCCCTTAGTGATATTAGTGGTCCTTAAGATTAGACATGATACTAAATATAGATATTGTACAATAATTATAAATGAATGAAGATGTTTGGCACTGACCAATGGTCAGGTATTGACCAAAAGGTTCACTAATCTGGTCAGTTAACTAGAAAGTCACTGAGAGTAGAATGGATAGTCCTAATTAGAATGTAAGCAGATTACAGTGGTCATTTAGCTGGACAGGATTTCTCGTCTGTTAATGATATATGTTGATGAAGTTATGTACATGCTGTCACTGGCCATCAACTTCCTGTCATGCTTTTAAAGGTATATCAATTAATTAAACATGTAATTAAATCATCTAATTAATACAGACATGTAATTCAAATTCAGAGGTTATTTAAAAATTGAGTCATCCCAATTAATTTTCATGCTATCAAGTCATCCTTCCATTATACTTATATACATGTAGCTCTAGTCTGTCACGGTGATGAAACTACTCAATCACCTTTACAATCAGATACATAACACTGTCTCACATGACTGTAACCTTCAGGTAAATCAGTCACCAATGGCACCAACAGTTTTGTTGTATCACTTATTATAGAATTTAATACATGGAAGTCCTAGCTTCATGAATAACACTTGCTATAAGAAACCAGTGCTACTTAACAGTGCATATCCCATAGGAGTTTTCCTGCACTTTGAGAGTGCCTGCACAATCAGGATGCCTGCCTTCGCATGTGAAGGCATGTGAAGGCATCTGCAGTATGGAGGTGACTGCTGTAATCAGGGCACCTTTGTTTTTATGGAGAATGTTCAAATAAGTTTTACCTGCATAATGAGTTAGTCTTTTCTAATAGGAATTATTGACACTATGAGGGTGCCTGTACAATGAGGATGCCTGCCATTGTATATGACAGCACAAGCAGTCTACTCTAATGAGGGCACCTGTGCCACATGTTGTACATCAAGGGTCAGTTCAATAATTTCTGCCACCAAGTGGTGTTGTAAATCAAAGTAGTGTTACAGTGACCAACACTTATGTGTTTCAGAATATTGCTTTACCAATTAAGAAATCAATCATGGGGTGTTAATCATGAACCGTTATAAAATAATCTCCATATGTGCTTAAGAAGTATTTGAGAATGTTAACATATTGGCAACTTGTATTTGGCCAAAATCTTTGCTTTTGGTTTTATGTTGGCAAAATACACTACAGGCAGTCAACCAGTATAACTTTACCTTCATCTAGTCAAGTGTCAAAGTCTACTGAAAGTTCCTGATAAGATAAAGAAAAAAATCTCTTTATGCCTGAAAATAGGAAAGACAAAATATCACTTGTTTTAGTTTAACTGAATTTACTAAAAATTTAAAAAAGACAATTTAAGACAAAGAAAAGAAACTTACATCTTAATATCCTGATCGGCAGCAGACCCTGGAGTTACATTCAAGGTTCTGACAGCCACTAGCCTCGGCAGCATAAGGGCCATCAATGACATTATCACAATAGTAGAGCTCTTCCCCATCCAGGGCTGGACAAACAGACACCAACTCTGTCAAACCATCAGCAGTTATGTTGAGACAACCGGACAGATCCAGATATCTCAAATGTGGAAGTCCCCCACCTTCAGCCAGACACCTAAGAGCAGGAGCAATTCATTGTTAAACTCTTAGCTTATTATGCATACAATAACTGCTTAATACAGAAATAAGTTTTTGATATTTTCTAAACATACCAGGTATCTACACCATAATGGACATTTGAGGTTGTAGCCAAATGAAATCACAAACTCACCTTTATGAATCCTTAGTTAGGTTTTTTTTTTTAACAAAACAGTATAGATTCTTTTACTTAAATAGGACCCCATAGTAAAGACTTAATTCAAGAGAAACATTCCTTGAAATAATTAATTTCCATACACAAATAAAAGAGTTTTCTAAAAGCTTTCTATTAGCTTATCTCAATAATGCCTTCATATACTTTTGTAAAGTGAGAGTATCGGTGAAACTGAATGCTTCTCGAAAACGACTTTATTGGACACAATATGTCACCAAAGGGCAATAATTCTGTAATTAAAGAAGCGGTTCTACACTACACACAGTTTTTGTGTAATCAATGTACAGACCAAGTCTCATTATCCTAATTTAAATGTAAGTTATGCTCTGGACAAGAAATTTAAACAAAGGGCAATAACTATGTAATTGAAGGGTCAAGGGGCCTGAATTTGGTACACAGCACATTATCTTAATATGATTAATATATACACTAAGCATCATCATTATCCATGCTTACTGTAGGCAAAGTTAAGCTGCGGACAAGATATTTTTTTAATAAAAGGCAATAATCCTGTAATAGAGGGGTTGAGGGTCCTGAATTTGGTATACAGCACATTGTCTTAGTATTTCCAATACAAACACAAAGTTTCATGATCCTTGCGCATCTGTGGGCAAAGTTATGATATGGACAAGAAAATTTAACAAAGGGCAATAACTCTGTTAACAGTATTAGTTTGATAACTTATCTCAGAGAAAAGGTCTTAACCTCCTGCCTGGAATCAGACAAGTTAACAGCATTAGTTACATAACTTAACTGAGAGAAAGGTCTTAACCTCCTGTCTGGAATCAGACAAGTTAACAGCATTAACTAGGTAACCTCTGTAAGGCAGACATAGTTCAGTACGTTTACTCATTCATTGATTTCCCATTTCAGTAATTAGTAATTCTGACAGATCTCCCTCTATTTCTAGGCAGTTGATGGTATTAGTATTATTCATTAAAACTATAGAATTACAAGCAACTATAACTAGGTGTATACACTCACAGTCTATGTAAGTGGCAGTTAATTTGTTTTTTTAGTAATTCATTCTAAAAGTACTTGAGGTATTGATACACACAGAAAAAAAAGCACGCTGAATGAGATCTTTTTCTAATGATGTCTACAATTTAATCCTCTATTTACTTCATCCTTGATTAGCCATGGGCTACCTTGTCATAATAAAACATGTAAATAAAAAATCACTAGGGACAGAGTTGTCATATATATTTCAACAAATTTCCACAGGAGACCACCGCCAATGTTTTACTGGGGGATACAAGGCTTAATTACAAGTCTAGTCTTTTGATCAGTAATCAGACATTGCCAATTCTTTAGTGTTAATGAAAAAGAATTGCTTTTCTGCTACAAGTCTACAGTCTAGAAAAGTTCATACAGAGGTACAGCTCTTTATAAATACCTGTAATATAGTACCTGTACATTATTTATAAACAAAATAATTGTTTAGCATCAATGAATCACTGAAAGGGCATCATGACTTGTATGGGCGCTTGTTAGGTTTTTCCAATAATATCGTAGTTTGACCCTGGCAGATCTAGAAGTGTTTATGTACCCCACCAAAACAATCATTTAACTGCTAGTAATATTACAAGATGACCTATCCTAACACTGTATTTTTTTCTGCAGTCTAAGGCAAGTACATTTATATAAAGAATGAATAAGAGATAATTTTAGCAATTAGCTAGCCAGTGAATGACAAGTACGCAAGTGTTGTTACCATCTAAATTTTTATATTCAACGAATCGTTTCACCATTGCCATTAGCCATTAAACCCATGTACCTTTTAGCTCATCAACCATTAAAAAAACAGAAATTTTAGTGATGATAAGATGGGCAACACTATATCTACTTTTATATACATAATTATATGTATCAATCACTACTTCAATATATAGTTGGTGATCTGAAGAAATTCACAAATCTTTATATATAAGGGAACTGGACAGGTAAGTAAATATCATGTACAGCTGACTGATCAATTTCAGCAGAATATTTCTGCTTAGTTAATAAACAGGCAAGACAACATTGATAAGAAATCAATGTTCAACCTATAGCTGAACATCAGATATCCATTACTTCATGTGGGTTTTCTAACATTAGCTAGCTAAATTTCCAATATTTATTTACAGAATGTAAATTGATACTTCAAACTAGGTTTAGGGATTAAAACGCAGTTGTACAAAAATTTATAAATTTATATGCAAGTCCTGAGTCTTGTACTTATAGAAATTTGATGGGAATAAAAGAATTTTACATTTAACATCTTACATTTTGGAATCCGTGTTTTCAGCGATAAGTCAAAGAGCAGTCATGAAAATTAATTGTAGATTGATCACTGGATTCAACTGGTCACAAAAAGCTCTGGATCAAACCACTGGTACAATCAGTAATAGGGGTGGAGATATGCTCAAAGTGAGAAGGGGTAATAATGATACTTGTCTTATCATTTATTGTAATTATTAGGATATTACAAAAGCTAGAAACATACCAGGGACTTGAACCAAAGAAATCATGATGCCCTTTACATTTCTTTATTTTAAATGTTGATCATGAGATGAAATCTGGCAAGAATGACTGAAAACCTGATAAAAAAGCTAACATTAAATGTGCAGTTTTGACACCCTTGTCAGTAAAATGTTATTTTATAAAACATTCCTAAATGACAGAGGCCATTTCAATCATTAAATTTGAATTTCCATACCTTTCCAAAATCTAATTTGTGAAGAAATGTATCAAATTATCATGTATTTGAATATGATGAATACCACTTCACTGCACTTTATCATATGTAACAATGGACCTAATTGTACATAAATCATGTCCACTATTGATGGCACTTTGCTCCTTTTCAAAAAAGTATTTAAATGAATAGCACAGATCGAAATGGGATCTTACTACCGGCTCTTCAGGCATTGTGCATTGTAATACATGCAATTTGCATCAGTTGTGTTAAAGGCAATTTTTCATAGCAGACTTGAAGCATTATTTCAAAAGCTATTCTGTAAAAAACATGCAAATAAGTAGAGTTCTATAACTAAATATAGGGTTAAAAAAAAGATCATCTACAAAATTCTCTTCAATAATATACAACCTTAAAAAGTTCACTGAGGTCAGAAAATGAAGATCAATGTAAATAGTTTATGCTACATGACAAATGCTCTGTTGCCTTATCAGTAAAACTACAAGTAAAGTTCAATTGAATATTTATGACAGTACAGGTAACACATAGCTCATCAATAGTGAGGTATCCTGGATATGTTCTAATATTAGGTAATTCTAAATAGTTACCAGTATATTGGCTTTGTAGAGTCAGACACACACATTTACCAATTAAGTTTAATCATGTCAATTTACAAAAACTAAAGTAGGTATAGGGACATAGAACAACATGATAACTTAATTAGCACGGCTGAGAGATTATGATAATGAGAAGGCATGAAGCTACTAGTAATACAAGAGGCCCATGGGCCTTAACGGTCATCTGACAAAAAGCAAGCCAAACCTAGAAAGTGGGTTGAGGTCATTCATTTGAACAAACTTGGTAGCCTCTCCTCCAAGCATCTTACAGGCCCAATATCAGCACTCATGGACTTTTGCTTGCTGAGAAGAAGTCGTTTGTATATTTTAACATATTTGACCCCTGTGACCTTGAAAGTGGGTTGAGGTCATTCATTTGAATAAACTTGGTAGCCTTTCCTCCCAGCATGCTACAGACCCAATATTGGCACTCATAGACTTTTGCTTATTGAGATGAAGTCCTTTGTATATTTTAACATATTTGACCCCTGTGACCTTGAAAGTGGGCCAAGGTCATTCATTTGAACAAACTTTGTAGGGCTCCATGCCAGCATGCTATGGGCCAACTATTAGCCCCCTAGGCCTTCTAGTATTTGAGAAGAAGTTATTTAAAGATTTTGACATATTTGACCCCTGCGACCTTGAAAGTTGTTCAAGGTCATTCATTTAAATAAACTTGGTAACCTTTCCTCCCAGCATGCTACAGACCCAATATCGGCACTCATAGACTTTTGCTTATTGAGATGAAGTCCTTTGTATATTTTAACATATTTGACCCCTGTGACCTTGAAAGTGGGCCAAGGTCATTCATTTGAACAAACTTTGTAGGGCTCCATGCCAGCATGCTATGGGCCAAGTATTAGCCCCCTAGGCCTTCTAGTATTTGAGAAGAAGTTATTTAAAGATTTTGACATATTTGACCCCTGTGACCTTGAAAGTTGTTCAAGGTCATTCATTTAAACAAACTTGATAGCCCTTCATCCCAGCATGCCACAGGCACAATATCAGCAATCTGAGCCTTTTGGTTATTGAGAAGAAGTTGTTTAAAGATTTTAACATATTTGACCCCTGTGACCTTTAAAGTGGGTCAAGGTCATTCATTTGAACAAACTTGGTAGTCCTTCATCCCAGCATGTCACAGGCCCAATATCTACACTCTGAGCCTTTTGGTTAATGAGAAGAAGTTGTTTAAAGATTTTAACATATTTGACCCCTGTGACCTTTAAAGTGGGTCAAGGTCATTCATTTGAACAAACTTGGTAGAGCTCCATGCCAGTATCCTCTGTGCCAAGTATTAGCCCCCTAGACCTTCTAGTATTTGAGAAGAAGTCGTTTGAATGAAAAGTTTACGGACGGCACACGGCGGACGGCGCACGGCGCACGGCGCACGGCGGACAACGACGGACGAAGCATGATGACTATAGGTCATCGGACCCTTCGGGTCCAGATGACCTAAAAATGTTCAGGATATCTTATTTGGTTGATGAGTGTATATAATGAATTATCAGGGTCATTATGATGTGGGGTTTCCTTCTATAAGCTGGTGGTTACCTCACTGAACAACATACAGGAGGCCTGCTGAATGCTATCCAGAACAATAAAGTAAAGCATCTTGCTCAAAACACAAGTATGATCTATGAAGTAAAAACTGTTCAGCGTAAAAATCAAACTATGTAACTTGGATCTTCACCTGAGCTTGCAAACTTTGATGCTCTACTGACTAAGATATTAAACTTTGATGCTCTACTAACTAAGATATTGCATTGTGACTCCCTTGTTTAAAGGTTACAGGATAAGCACAGAAGACACACAAGAAATACACAATCTACAGCACATATGACCTGAATTAACAAAAGCCATTCAAACAGATACATTTCTTTTCTATCAGAAACAATACAACATCAACAGTAATGTCATTATAATATTAAATCTAATATTGTCAAACTTTTTTTTTTTTTTTTTGTGAAATATATTCTTCCAAAGTCAATCTTCACTTTACTGAAGAAAAACTTTCAAAATACACTGGAAAGTGTGCTACTATTTCACAGATAAGCTTTCAAAATATACTGGTAAATAAATGTAAGCATATGCGTCTCAGAAAAATAATCAATCAAAAGTGAATTTTTGTGGTCACATGGTACTGCAAGATAAAAGTTATTTACAAATGTCATGAAACTTAACCATAAAGGTTGTACCTAGAGAATTTTAAGTCATCAATAGCATGCCGATTAATTCCAATTTTAATCATGTTCTAAACTATTTTACAGACTTTTGCTACAAATACCACTACATAAACTACACTTCATGGAATTTGCTGAATTTGAACAAAGCTACTGATACCAAAGGCAATGTGTAATGTCTTCTAGAAAGTATCAATTTGTAAAAAATATCTATTCATTTAAGGCCTTGCTTGTAGTTTTACCAATTTTAAAAATCAACATTTCTCATTGGTGAATTAAAAAGTTAAGTGAAATACATATCAGAAAACATGCTTAGTATTTCATGTGTAGCAAGCTAAAAATGGCAGAGAAAGGTTCAAAATACAACATGCAGTATGAAATGGAAAAAAAGAGAAACAAATCTATACCATTCAAACAGGATTTTAAATTAATACATTTTGAAACATTTAAATAAGAAAAAAATTCAGTACAAAATACAATGGTAAATAGTTTTTGCTTATCCTAAAATCCGAAATAATCACTAGATTTAAAAGAATTATACCAATACTTGATATTTAAATGCATCGACTTATTCACATTAAAAAACATCAAATTATCTAATTAGTGTGCATAATTCAAATACAACACCTACCATTGCTTTTTTATTGATGATTTACTTTATCTAATTACCAAGACATCTTTTTAACCAAATTTAATTTAATAATATGTATGTACTTGTAACAAAAGCATAATTCCTGACTCATTGATTATAAAATTAAACCTAAATATCATCATACTGACAACACATTGGCCATACTCATTCTCACCTTAGCCCTGAATCTGTGATATGGTAACAGCCAGATAGACTCAAATACTCCAGGTAGCGAGAGTTGGGGTCAGAGTTTAAAACTTCACCATTGAGATCAAGGTCATTATCACAGATTTTCAAACTGTCACCAGTTTCTCTGGTGACTTTTGAGTCTTGGGTACCCATTGAACCCGACTGTAGCTTGTTTGTGTTTTGATGATCAAATGAAACACATGTAGTCCTTTTTGGTTTCTTTGACTCATAAAACTTGATGGTAGTCTGACATGAATGTGAACAAATATCATCTGCTTCAGTCAAATGTTTAGCAGACATGTTACATTGATCACAATATTCTGTAGAATCATTGTGGTAAACTTCACCAACCAGATCTGTACCATGACCTGCAATGGCAACATAGTTCAAACATTGCGCGTCGCTCACATCTGACGTATTACAATTTTCTTTGTCACCAAGTCTTTGAAAGCTTTCTTTTAATGTCTTTGGTTTGTCAAAGACATCTTGACTTTTCTTCATCATATTTTCAAGGTAATCACAAGCTCTTTCAAGAGCCTGACCCACATTTTGATCAGTCAAGTTTTCAAGTAAATAAGATTCTTCAAAATATGGAAGAATGGATTTATTTGACACATTTTCGAAGTTTGATGCATGATGCTTCTTCAAGTTGCTGTAATCACAACTGTCATAGACACTTGCATCAACTGCAGCCTCAATCTGAGAAGATACATCTTTACCCATATCAACTTTACTTTCATATCCCATACATTCTTGCTCTGTAACTTTTTCTCTTGTTGTACTTTTTTTAATTCCATTCACATTAGTGTCCTTGCCTTGTTTTAAAATATGACATTTTTCACATTTATCGATTTTGCTTTGGTCTTTTTCATTGTCTTCAGTTTCATTTTTCTCCAGTTTACTTGCAAACATTACACTTCGTTCATTGTAGGAGAAATCACCAAAAGCAGAAGACAATCTTTCCAATGTTCTGTCAGTGATGTTAAAGCATCCGCCCAAATTGAGATGCCTCAGCTTAGATCCACATCCCTTTCGGCCAAGCCTAATGAAAGAAACAACCAGATTTCAAATTTCTTAACAGTGAGCATTACAAAACATTATGAAATACATATTTTAAAAGATCATCCACAACAAAAGCAACTAACTCTAATTTGCTAATACCAACAGCTCTTCACTTTAGAAGTAATTGTTTGTCGCTGCATTGGAGTGTGTAACAGTTACAAAGAGGGATACATACATGCCATATCACTAAATAAGAAAACAAAAATCAGTTTTACAAATAAAATACAATTTTTACTACTTCAGCTGAATGAAATAAAGTCTCCATGGCTACTATTACTTTTGAATACGAAGGGGGATAACTCCTTTAAGAATATAACAAATAACACAACCACATAATACTTACCCTTTGAAAGCTATGTCGGATATCCTTGTTTGAGACAAATCCAGGATCTCCATATTTGGACACTGAGAAAGAATCTTGTAAAGCTGAAGAAAAAAGGGAGTTAAGAAAACTTTATGAACTAAATAGTGTTATCATGGCAAAAATTATCATCTAATCAAAGGTACACATTACTTGTTCAGAGTGCCTTATATTTACAATAAACCACAGCAGTATTCGCCAAACAACCATAACATCTCTCATCAGACTGGTTTGGTAAAATTTTGGTCAGTCTAGTAAAATAGGTCTGATAGGGCTTTGATCTTTGATTGTTTTAGAGCAGCAATTTTTCTTCCTTTTTTTTTCAAATCAAAACATATATACAATATTCATTCTCAGTCACTTGAAAGCAACATTTAGCTAAAGATAAATTATATGTTTACCAACTAATAAAGCCTTTGGTTGCATTCTATGGACAGTCTTTATATGGTTCTGTGCTCATGGTGTTGTAAACACCTATATCTAGCTTCCATGTGAATCATATTTAGTGCTGTTTCTTGCTTGGCAATGTTGAGATGCTTTCTATGTTGAAATATCACAAATTTAGGGCTTTACAAAGTAATACTTGAATTACAATTCGCACAAAGAATGCAGATAATTGCCTGATAGTTCTAAATATCACAAAGAAAAGTGTGCAAGAAGATTTAAACCAAAGAGATGGGAGAGTTCTACTAGAGTCTATACTGGTCGATCGTTACATGGCAGTACTGAATGTAAGTAGTATTCTATTATCAATAATTCTATTTATAACGAATAGTAATATATAATTGATTCTGTAATGTCTTCAACTCTTGAACAGTTGGGTGCTTAATGCCCAAAATCATCGGACAAAGAGGTTCACCAGTCACAATACAGGACTTTTTCTGGGTAAATCGGGAAATGGCCCCTGGGCAAAATTGAGAAAAAATTGAGAGATCCTTTGAGTACTTCTCAAGAAATAGCAATAACAAACTAGCAAACAAAAGTATTCCAAGATGGCCACCTGTCAGCCATTTTGTATTTCTGATCATTTCTACAATCAAATGGGCACAACTACGGACCAAGGGGAACCTACACCTGATATTTGAAAAAGATCCATCCAGTATTTCTCAAGAAATAGGAATAATAAAAATTGTTTACAGATGGACATCAGACCACAGATGTAGGGTGATTTGAATAACATATTGACTTAATTTTTCATTCAAATTATTGAATTATAAAGGCAGGATACCGACGTTTATTGTTGTGTTTAAAAGTATTGACCAGAGTGAAATGGGTCTGAAGGACTCTAAACACAAGTCAGCATCAGGAATGAAAATAATACCCCTACACTTATCAGTCCTTTCATCAAACTGGAGCCTCTTTTCTGCAGTTAGAACAATGTTTATCACTTAGACCAGCGCCCATCGTGGGACCTGCTGTCTCACATGTGTCTGAAACATTTGACTTTGGTTCGCCCCAACTTTTTAAAGAAAGTGTCAAGTATTCCACTGTTGTTTGCACCTGTTTTCCTATAGATTTCACATAACCTTCATAATACTTGGCATTATGCTAGGACATGATGACAGACCGCATACCATCACAACAAGTGATGTTGATTAGATGCTTTGCAAAAAAGCTCTGGCAAAAACATACTTTCAAGCACTTCAGTGACTCTGTATATATAGGTCAAGAAGACATAACAAAAGAGTTTGTTTTTCAAGCAGATTTGTTAACAACGATAACAATCTACCCTTCACATTTTTTTTTTTTGGGAGATCCTATTTTGGTTAAAAAAAACATGCTTTTAAGGTTCAAATATGCATCATCATCAGACATCAGAGAAAAAATTCTGGATCAGGGAAATTTGAAGACTAAATCTCCTTTGGAATGAGACCGTATATTGGCCCCTGTGACATCTCTGACTGTTTCAAAATTTATACCAATTAATAAAGTCTAATGTGGTCAAAACATCGCTGATTGCTTCTTTCATGACTATTGAGAATCTAGATAAAACAATATACATATATAAGATATCTTATGGGTGTAAAAACAACCCTGAAGCTGAATTAAAAGAACCAGCATGGAACTATGTCTTTACACAAGCTGGCATGAAATTGAAATTCAAGTTACATTCTGTGATCTTAAAAGTTTTTACTTATGGCATATAATAGTATAACAACATTGTCTAGTACCAGTTTCCTTTGCCTTGTAAATTTTTCTAGTTTACCTTACAAAATGTCCTGTTCAGATTGACAAAGTTGAAAAGAAAATTGTAGTTTTCAAATGAAAATCTTGTTATATGAATCCGTAAAATTTATTTAGGACCTGTAAAAATTTTGATATCTTACCCAAATAGAATGTAAAGATTTTAAAAGTTTGGCACACACTTTCAGCATCTTATAACAATACCAGGCAGAGGAAGGATTATGGTCTACACCTGCCTCAGTTTTCTGATAGCAAGGTGTGGCTCATTAATACCTGATGTAGTTATGTACAAAAGAACAAAAGTCTGTTACTCACTTAGTATCACTATCAAAGAAATCCCAATCTAATATCTAAGGTCCAATTGTAAATTCTGTGACCATTCATTCACTTGTCTCACCATTTTTGTCCATAGAGAATTATTTATTCAGCCTTTTAAACAAGAGGACCCAAAGGCCTGTAGCATTAACTCTTGAATAGTGTTTGGAAAGGTAACACATCTGTGACCTTCAAATTTTTTATGTATTCCACAACAAGATTACACTACTGGCCAGCTATCCTCCAGGATAGTACTGAGAAGGTTTCGAGATATTTTACAGATATGTGACAGTATCATTTTTTATGTACTGATGGGTTTAACACCAGCAAACTACACACCTAGTAACAGTACATGGGGTTCTCCAAATCAGTAATAAAGAAAAGAACCATGTACAAAAGTAGTGTGCCTAAACTCTTTAACTTCCAATTTTTAACAGAAATTTATGACAGGAAGCTAGCTAGACTGACCAATCAGTCCATTAAGCAAGGCCCTTACCGTATCCTAGGTAACAAGCTAGACTGACCAATCAGTCCATTAACAAGAGCCTTACTGTATCCTAGGTAACAAGCTAGACTGACCAATCAGTCCATTAACAAGAGCCTTACTGTATGGAGGTAACAAGCTAGACTGACCAATCAGTCCATTAACAAGTCCCATACTGTATCCTAGGTAACAAGCTAGACTGACCAATCAGTCCATTAACAAGTCCCTTACTGTATCCTAGGTAACAAGCTAGACTGACCAATCAGTCCATTAAGCAAGGCCCTTACTGTATCCTAGGTAACAAGCTAGACTGACCAATCAGTCCATTAACAAGTCCCTTACTGTATCCCAGGTAACAAGCTAGACTGACCAATCAGTCCATTAACAAGTCCCTTACTGTATCCCAGGTAACAAGCTAGACTGACTTACCAGTCCATTAACAAGTTCCATACTGTATCCCAGGTAACAAGCTAGACTGACCAATCAGTCCATTAACAAGTTCCATACTGTATCCCAGGTAACAAGCTAGACTGACCAATCAGTCCATTAACAAGTCCCTTACTGTATCCTAGGTAACAAGCTAGACTGACCAATCAGTCCATTAACAAGAGCCTTACTGTATCCTAGGTAACAAGCTAGACTGACCAATCAGTCCATTAACAAGTTCCATACTGTATCCCAGGTAACAAGCTAGACTGACCAATCAGTCCATTAACAAGTCCCTTACTGTATCCTAGGTAACAAGCTAGACTGACCAATCAGTCCATTAACAAGTCCCTTACTGTATCCTAGGTAACAAGCTAGACTGACCAATCAGTCCATTAACAAGTCCCATACTGTATCCTAGGTAACAAGCTAGACTGACCAATCAGTCCATTAACAAGTCCCTTACTGTATCCTAGGTAACAAGCTAGACTGACCAATCAGTCCATTAACAAGTCCCTTACTGTATCCTAGGTAACAAGCTAGACTGACCAATCAGTCCATTAACAAGTCCCTTACTGTATCCCAGGTAACAAGCTAGACTGACTTACCAGTCCATTAACAAGTCCCTTACTGTATCCCAGGTAACAAGCTAGACTGACTTACCAGTCCATTAACAAGTCCCTTACTGTATCCCAGGTAACAAGCTAGACTGACTTACCAGTCCATTAACAAGTCCCATACTGTATCCCAGGTAACAAGCTAGACTCACCAATCAGTCCATTAACAAGTCCCTTACTGTATCCCAGGTAACAAGCTAGACTGACTTACCAGTCCATTAACAAGTCCCATACTGTATCCCAGGTAACAAGCTAGACTGACTTACCAGTCCATTAACAAGTCCCATACTGTATCCCAGGTAACAAGCTAGACTGACTTACCAGTCCATTAACAAGTCCCTTACTGTATCCTAGGTAACAAGCTAGACTGACCTACCAGTCCATTAACAAGTCCCTTACTGTATCCTAGGTAACAAGCTAGACTGACTTACCAGTCCATTAACAAGTCCCTTACTGTATCCCAGGTAACAAGCTAGACTGACTTACCAGTCCATTAACAAGTCCCTTACTGTATCCTAGGTAACAAGCTAGACTGACTTACCAGTCCATTAACAAGTCCCTTACTGTATCCTAGGTAACAAGCTAGACTGTATCCATTAACAAGTCCCTACTGTATCCCAGGTAACAAGCTAGACTGACCAATCAGTCCATAACAAGCTAACAAGAGCTTAGTCCATTAACAAGTACTGTATCCTAGGTAACAAGCTAGACTGACCAATCAGTCCATTAACAAGTCCCTTACTGTATCCTAGGTAACAAGCTAGACTGACTTACCAGTCCATTAACAAGTCCCATACTGTATCCCAGGTAACAAGCTAGACTGACCAATCAGTCCATTAACAAGTCCCTTACTGTATCCTAGGTAACAAGCTAGACTGACCAATCAGTCCATTAACAAGAGCCTTACCCAGTCCATTAACAAGTCCCATACTGTATCCCAGGTAACAAGCTAGACTGACCAATCAGTCCATTAACAAGTCCCTTACTGTATCCTAGGTAACAAGCTAGACTGACCAATCAGTCCATTAACAAGTTCCATACTGTATCCCAGGTAACAAGCTAGACTGACCAATCAGTCCATTAACAAGTTCCATACTGTATCCCAGGTAACAAGCTAGACTGACAGTCCATTAACAAGTATCCCTTACTCAGTCCATTAACAAGTCCCTTACTGTATCCTAGGTAACAAGCTAGACTGACCAATCAGTCCATTAACAAGTTCCATACTGTATCCCAGGTAACAAGCTAGACTGACCAATCAGTCCATTAACAAGTTTCATACTGTATCCCAGGTAACAAGCTAGACTGACCAATCAGTCCATTAACAAGTTCCATACTGTATCCCAGGTAACAAGCTAGACTGACCAATCAGTCCATTAACAAGTTCCATACTGTATGGAGTCCATTAACAAGTATACAAGCTAGACTGACCAATCAGTCCATTAACAAGTCCCTTACTGTATCCTAGGTAACAAGCTAGACTGACCAATCAGTCCATTAACAAGTCCCTTACTGTATCCTAGGTAACAAGCTAGACTGACTTACCAGTCCATTAACAAGTTCCATACTGTATCCCAGGTAACAAGCTAGACTGACCAATCAGTCCATTAACAAGTTCCATACTGTATCCCAGGTAACAAGCTAGACTGACTTACCAGTCCATTAACAAGTCCCTTACTGTATCCTAGGTAACAAGCTAGACTGACCAATCAGTCCATTAACAAGTCCCATACTGTATCCCAGGTAACAAGCTAGACTGACTTACCAGTCCATTAACAAGTCCCTTACTGTATCCAAGGTAACAAGATTTGACATAAGAACCAACTCTTGGCAACAGGTACTTCACCAGGGATGTCAACATGGCCGCCTCTTTACGGATCTGAAATAAAATGAGGCATTTTTAATCAACTCCAAAAACTTTGTTCAATTGCAGATGTTCTTCTTGTATAAAGCAGAAATACAATAATTTGAGAAATACTAAGAGAACTGACTTGTAATAAGTGGTACAGACACATAAATACCAGGTACAAAACTGTGTGTTATGTTTAGGCTAACAAAAAATCTATTACAGTCTAGGTTTTAAAGAATTAATCATGACAGGCAATGAGGCCAGGTTCACAAATTTATTCCATAGCCATTCTACTTGGTGTAAATTTCATCACTACTATTTTTCTTTATGAAGCTGATGTATGCACAACCCTGACCTGTTTGTCCTCCATACACTCATCATCTACATTGTTGTCGCTCTCATCTCCTCCAGATTCATCCCGGTCAGCATCCTCGTCTACCATCTCATCCGACAAAACATCGGTCATTAACTCCTTGTTGATGTTCACCTTTTCCTCCTCCAAATCACAGTCCAGCTTAGGAACAAATGACCACTGACCTGTTGAATGGACAAAAAAAACTTAATAGTGTTCATAAAGGAAAAAGTCCAGAGAAGCCAGCAGTACTGCCATGCCACTTTGAGCCAAAATTCTTAAAAGATTTGCTCCAAAAAATTCTATGAAATTAGACTGTACAGGCAATGATTTCCAAATTTTGCTCTCTTTCAGTTTTCCTATTTCAATAAAAAATATAATTATGTGAAGACTTTGGTCACTATATCATCTAAAATAGCATGAAAGTCAACATTAAATTATTATGATTTCGATCATTGATATCTCCAAATAATGTAGAATGCACATTCCAAAATGGTATGTAACAAAATGTTTTTCATCCTACATACAGATGTGAAGCCTAAGACAGAAAATTGGACTTAATGTGGCCAAGAAATGGTAAACAACACATAGCAATGTCATCCTGTGTCCATAACATTTCTTTAATCCACTTAAAATGACTCAGAAGTTAAGGAGCAGATAATTAACTTGAATTTGGACTCAACATGACCTTTGACTTCAGTGATCAGTTTGTGCACAATGGTACAGATTTCCAAACATCCCCAAATTTTCTGAGACTTTCAGCAAATCATGAGCTTTGATAAAGACAAAAAGGTTTTATTTGACCTCTGGTCCTCACTATGACCTTAAGTTGTACACAATGCAATGCCTTTCCTGTATTCAAACATACCAGGGATAAACAGGAACTGTAAATGATTCATTTACACAGCAACTTTGTTCAAACATTCAGAAGATCATACGGACCAGAATATGGTACATATAACACACATCCAGATCCAGAGTAATCTTTGCGATCACCATATTTCATATTGATTTTTCCTAAAAAAGTTGGAGCATTTCAGTTCTTTTCTATTCTTTCTCCTCTTTCATCTTTAATTATCAAATCTAAGGTAGCCATCTGTCAGCCATTTTGTTTTTCTGATCAGTACTATAATCAAAAAGGTACCACTAGGAACTAAGAGGAACCTACATATAAAAATTGAGCAAGACGCATCCAGTATTTCTCACAAAATAGCATTAACTGTCTTTCATTGCCAAAATCCAAGATCGCCACCGGTCAGCCATTTTAATACTCCGATCTGTCTCAAAATCGAAACATCACAAGTAGGGACCATAAAAAGGGCATAAGTAGGGGCCAACAGAAACCTATGTATATACCTAAGTTGTTTTCTCATCCCAACATCAAAAGGTCAACTTGACATCATGGACAATCTAATATGAAATTTGAGAAAGATTCAAGTCCCTATCAAGTGATAACAAGTATTGTTTACAGACAAACTGAGGGACCGAAGATATAGGACGATTTTTAAAAGCCTGTCATCTTCAGATTGTGGGTTAATACATCCACAAAACTTTGGACAAGTCCGAATGCTGGTCATAACAATTGAAATATGCTGTAATTTGATGTTTGATATTAATGCGTCTTTCACCTTGCAATAAGCAGATATTAAAATGATACACAACACACTGCTGTATCATCTCCTATATACTATTGAAGTTTCATTGAATTCCCTTCAGTTGTAGCACAGACATTCATCCCTGATGACAAATTTAATAGGCAACATTGGAACATTCACATCATACCAACCCTACCATATCTGAATGAAATCCTTATAAACTATGGATTGAGCCAAAAGTGAAAAATACAAATGAATTGTATAGTTCATTTTGATGTGAAAAATATCTTCACAAGGTGACAAGTAAATATCGAAACACTAAAATTAAAAATGAGTAAATGATTAAACTCTTTCACAAAATGCAGAATCACCTGTAATGATATTGATGAAAATATATTTAACAGATCACAATGAAAAATATACAATTATACTTTAAAATAAACTGGTATCATTAAAATATGATTATCTCCCTTTAACTGCTTTTGACACCTTATAAAGTCTAATGTTTGTAAGTCCTAACATTACTTAAGTAGCATATATGAAATTCTATTGATGGTGGTCTAGTCATCGACAATCATTTAAGTGCCATCTGAGTTAAAAGTCTCAGCTAGATACAATAAAATGACACCACACCTGGTCTATTCACAATGCATTTCTTTCACCTGCCACAGTCAGGCAGTTTTTTAGGTTTAGCTGTTGTTTCATCATCACCCTGTGAACAGCCAAGGTCATTTTGTGTCAGGGTATTCGTGTAGTAGTTTGTAGCTATCTCAACGAGCAAACTATGAGAGGCCCTTCACATGCTATCTACAGCTATTCCTTAAAAGTGTCTTGCCGAAGGACACAATCACTACAACACAATTAAGCCTGGTTCTCAGCTTCCTAAGCTTAAGAAACAACCTGTCAATGTCACCTATAGTAAGTCTCAAACTGTACACATTGGAACATCATTTCATGTTACATATTCCCAAGCTCTACCAACTGGGGCACCCCAGCCTCATTTGTCTTGCAGATATTTAAGTATAAACCAATATCTTGAAAATACATGCAATTGATTAGCCTTACCTTGGTATTGGTTTACTGCCATCTAACAATGAAGTCTTTTGCAACAACATTAAGACAGACATACTTCATACAGTTCAAGAACAGTGAACTTGACACCATAAAATTACTTTCAAAGCATGTAACTTACCCATAGACCACTGAACAGGTAGTATGGTTTTCCACAAGGAGCCATCAATAGACAATGCATTCCAGCGTTGAGACACCTGAGCACAGCGACAGAGCTGGCGAGGGTCGAGATGGGAGAAGACTTTCAACATCAGTTCTTCTGGTAGTGTGTCTATCCCCTTGTATTCCACCTCCTTCTCCGACTTCTCCCACTCCTCTTTCTCATGGAACTCATCACCTATCAATGCAAACATTGATAACAACTTCTTTACAAACTATAATAAATCCTGATTTACCCCTGCAGATTTACTCTGCAAGTTGTACTATTGTCATTTCTCAGCAAAATAATGTAAATTTGATTTGATCTTGACCTACAGATTAATATAATTCTTCTTAATTAATGAAAACAAAACCAATTAAAGATTCTCCATTCAGATAATGTAACATGCTTCACCTAGGTTTTTAAACATTTTCACTTCTGTATATAGTCATTGTGTAAACCGAAGTTTACTGAAGAAAAGAATACATGCCCAAGTCTCCAGAAACTATTTTTATTCATAACTGTAGCCTTGATTTTAGAATGATATTATCTAGTGCTGGAATGGGTATTTGGATATCCAGTTCCCAGTTCAGTAGGAGCCTTAGCTTGTTATCCGATTAGCATTTCAATTATCCAATAACCCTTCACCATAGTTATGCTGTACAGCAGGCTCCTCTATCATAATCTGTGACTAGTGCCATACTTCATGTATATGCGTATATTACAGTAAGATTATCCATAAACCATAGGTACCCAAAAGAGATGCGCATTAGAACAACACCAAAGATCATACATTGCTTACACACGGCTAGCTTGTTGACCTATTGTCTGTTAGTAATCTAGTCACAATTTCTACTTTGAGTTGACAGGAAACAATTTTGAATACAAATAGAATTGTTAAGTAGCTATTTAAGTATATAAGATAAGTATATAAGATAAGTAGTTATAGCAGAGGCCATCTTTTGTAGTCTTGTTGACTTATGTATTGCGTCGTATAGAGCAGGGATATGACAGATTCATAATCTCAATAGTCAAGCTCTATGATCTAAACAGGCCAATTTATATCAATTTCAAAGTTAAACATGAAATGTTGGTAATCCTGTTATGGTTCGGTTTGTCTGAGACAATTAACCGATTAATGTTTTTGCTTTCCAGTAATTATAATATTTATACACTTTGACTACTGATTCAATTCTAGGCCATCTTTTGTAGTAACAAAGGGTCACCTTGATGCATTTTCTAATATTTTACCTCAAATTATAGATTTTCATTCTGTGAACTTATGTATCTCTGCTAAAAGTTGAATAAGTTTAGTTTCGATCCAGAAAAAAAAAAAATAAATTGAAGAATCACTATAATCAGCACAACTAATGTTCATGGTCCTTCAAAACATTTTAAAATGTTACACTGGCTAGCTGTTATATCTCCTCTCTGGAAATGTCACTCATTCTAAGCACTAACTGATTCAAACAACTATCAAAGACACCAAAATTCAAGTAAATTTTTTTGTCATTTACAGCTTTATCATTTTGAATACCTACAAATCAATTCTTCTTCCTCCAGTTTTGCTTCCTTCTGCCCAGTGCTGATTGAATGATGTATGAGAACTTCATTCTTGATGTCACATAGTTCATCATAACTAAAGTACTTAATTAGCATTGGCTGAAAAATCTGAAAAATGAATCAAAATATCATCCTTTAACAAAGACATTCCACGATATCTAAAGAAGCCTTTTTTTAAACTGTCATTCTGAAATGAAATAAAACACATCTAGTAAAATGAAACTTTTTTCTCATTTATCTAATCAGTAAGACATAGTAAAGAGGTGTTCTGTATGCCAAGACGTACAATTAGTCCCTGTAAAATGTTTGTTTTACTTAGGTTTCATCATATGTATACACATATTTTCACATATCAAAATCTGGTCATTCGTAATATCTCAACGACTTTGTTATCTCGTACAGTCCCTAACATGTTGTGTTAATCAGACATGGGTTCAGCAGTGTTTAATATCAGTTTCAAATCAATACATAATAAAGATTTCAGCTAACCTCTTCTTCCTCTTCCATATGAGGGAGGAAGTTATTTGTAAAATCTTCCAAAGCAGTTCTTAGTTTGATTCCATAATTCACTCTATCAGCATCTGTTTTCTCTGTACACTTGTACCCATCCTGAAACAGGTTCAACATCTCGGTCAGTCTGTTGTCAGAGTGACAGTTACAGACCGCATGGTTCTTTATGGACAGACACTTGAGTTTTTCCTTAAGTTTATTCATGATGAACTGGTTTTCTACTTGCTCATGGTTGTGGAACTCTTTGAAGGTGTTGCACAGATTCTCCAATAATGATGTCAGGTGTCCAACATTTGTAAAGTTGATGTCAGAAACCTATAACAGAACAAAATATTTCAATTTCAGTAAAAGCACATAACCATATGAATTCTACAAACAAGATTCAACCTAATTAATGGTTAGAGATTTATACATCTCATGGAGAAAATTCTTTACATTTGAATAGAAGATGTATATATCTATAGAAGGGGAAAAGCTCTATGGATCTTATTTTAAGGGGCCTGTATAATGAATTTAAAATGAATTTAATATCTGATGGGGGAAAAGTTCTATGTATTTAACTTGAAGGGGCTTGTGTATCTTATGTGAAAAATTCTATGTATTTAATTTGAAGGGGTCAATATATTTAATAGGAAAAGGCCTATATCCAATGGGGAAAAGATTTTTGTAATTATCAGGAAGGGCTTTATATATCTAATGGGAAAATGTCTATATATCTACTAGGGAAAAGGTCTACATGTTTAATGGGTTTATATCTGAATATTTAACTGGTAAATGGTCTATACATTTAATTGGAAGAGGTCTATGTATTTCATGGGAGAAGATTTTAATATCTAAAGGGAGAAAGGTATACACATTCAATAGAAAAAGGTCTATGTAAAGTTAACTATATACATATATTACATATATAATTGGAAAATGGTTTGTATATGTACACAAAATCATACTAACAACACTAATATAATTACTCAATAGTCTATAAACATATGTGAAATGGGTTTTACATTTATCATGAACATGTAATGCCAAGTAGTTGTAAAAATCATAATCAGACAAAAATAAATCATAATAGTCATATCTTGCTTTATGAGTAAAAGAATAAACATATTTTACCCAAATTTAAAAAGTAAATTATCAGTTTACCACAAGATTATTAAATACATATACATAACAGATGCAATGTCTCATACCAAGAAACTGAATAAAGTTTACAAGCCTATACTAAAAAAAACTGTTGCCTTAATCTGAAATATATTATTATTTCATATTCATAATTATATTGTCTGAAAATTTAATTCATCATCCGTGTTTGCTGAGATCATTCATGAACCTATGATTTGATACTCTGCAAAATCTGGTCAGATAACAATTTCCTCAATAGAAATTATTGCCAACTTTATTGTAAATTTGCACCATATGATTGAAATTGAATTGTAATTGAGGTACAACTTGACAGAGTGTCTGAAATAATGTCATCCAATACATCATTTCACAGAACGACAAATTCATTTTGTCAAGAATTTTTTTTCTGATAATATTTTAGAAATAAACAAAACGCATGTAAAGAAAACTCCAGACATCAAGGATCTATTATCAGATCATTGGGACTCAAACTTCTTACATTGAGTGTGACGCAGTACGTCAGGGGGTCCGAATTTCGCAATTAAAAAACTGTTTTTCAATATGAAATTATGCATCACATATGTATTTAAGATAAAAAAGTAAAGTATTGTAAAATGATATGTATATAGATGACAACATCGCTATAAAAGACGGCGTTAAAACTATTTTTGTCATCAAACTTCACAGTATGAAACTAAAATCAGCAGTTTACGTAATCGTCAGAAAATGTTCATGCATGTTGTCGAAGCATCATATCTCAACGGACGTGCGTACCATGTTTAAATATTTCTGCACTAATTCCTTCATTCTAGAATGAGGAATAGTGAAAACGTCTACTTCATCAGGCCAGGATTTCGGCGCCATGTTGTGTTTTGGTAGGAAGTGTTGAAATATCGAAGAATCTCGTTTAATTCTCGTGTGATTGTGACGCGTCGTGTTGCTATGGTCGCTCGAGCGGTGTCGCGGCATATCAAAACTTCGGAAGATTAGGGAGTCTTATACAGCAGTTTCTTAACTGGGAGAATCCGGCCGGAATTCACAAGATGGCCCGAAATTATCCTGCGAGTACGCAGAAACAAAAGTTTTTGGAAGAATCATACAACAAGGAGCGTGATACAAGGCTTGTGTGGTTCTTTTCAAATTCAGCGAAAGGTAATCCACTGTCACAGTCCAAACAGTCAGAGGCTATGAAAAGAAATATCCAAAACGCACCGAAACCGGCGGCGGATTTATTTAACAAATTACCAGCGGACAAAACACCTAAACGGTTTAACAAGAAAAAGTCAGATTTTCAAAATGTTCCATTTAAAGAAAGAAATACTGGCGAACTACTGAGTGTTGCGATGCATCCAGTTACACCACATGTTAGAAGTAAGCTGTACGACGGATTCACTAAAGAGGGAAGAGGTCGATACCAATATCTTTGTGACAGATACAAGGAAAGTCCAGAGGACAAATTCCAGTTCCCTCTACTTAGTTCCTGGGAATACGGATGGCGGTTGGGAGATGTTGTGAAGAAAAGTGAGATTAAGAAACCTCCGTTTGGACGTACAAGAATAGTTGCAGACACCTTTTATACAAGGACTGGTATTCCTACTAGCCCCGCTGTTGATGTGTAAAGGTAACAGTTAATTCAAGAATGATTAATTTACTGAACTGAGTTAATTATTAAGTCTTCTGCAAAAGTATTATTTATGGAGAAAAAAAAAACTAAAGCATTTTGTGATATCACCCGTGGACACTGTGTCGCTGTTCGTCTCGTCCGTAACCGTGTTCGTGAATATGTACTGTTGGTAGTGTTGAGAAGAAAGTATCTGAACATTCTACATGGAGACATTGGAACGTGTATATATACCTGTACCATTGTTGGATCGTATTTGTGATAAAAGTTTGTTTAATTGTTTGTTGTAATTCTATTCGAGTGAAAATATGTGTGACTTACTACATTTTATAGCAATCAATTATTGGAATTTTCGACGTTTGTCCAATTTTATATTTAAGAAGGACACGTCAACCACAACGTGAAAACTAATTTCATTTGCTCAAAGTAGCATTCTCTAGTATATGTTGTTTGTATGTATTTTAATGTGATAATGCAATATGAAAACGTGTACATATCCATATTGTGTGAAAAGTTTAACTTGAATTATATATACAATTGTACATATCATAATCGATAAGAGAAAACTCATCCATTTCTCTTTTCAACCCTTAATCAGTGCCGTCCGTCCAAAACTGGCAGATTTTGTCTATTATCCAATGTTGCAAATACCTGTACATATATCATACTATTATGTTCTATTTGTACATAAGAATCACTGGCGTGTATACCTTAGCGGGCTTAAGTATAATTAAATGTAGGTTTTATACATGTATATTACTAGCTTTACACCACTTGAAGAAAAAAAACATGCATAAAAATACTTTCAAAAAACATTTCTAGTTAATTTCTTTTTCTGTTTGATGTGTTACATAACTGCATTATGCGTTACTCATTTACAGAAAAAAAGGAAAGAAGTACGTGAAATATATAAAGTCTGTTGGTTTACTGACCCAGCTACTCGATAGCAACACATTGAGATGCAACTTTTGACCCGTTTGTGTTACCCTTGAACAATTTTCGTCTGTGTACCCTTATGCTAAACCAAAGACTAGCTAAACTAAGTTTCTTGTTCATGTACTTGCATGTATTGAAGTAGATATTGCGATAAAATGGGTCTCCGTATGGATTTTAATTATTCATAGAGAGGTAATAAAGCTGTTTTGTGCTGTTCCGTTTGTGTAGGGTTTACTCTTGAGAGTTTACCTAACACTAGGCCAATGTATGTATACGTATGAATAGAAAGTCGATATTTGTATCTGCAGGGTAGAATATATTACAATATGCACTTACACTGCATAACAGCGTTTCTAATACTTTTTCTGACAATACGTGTTAGTAAGAAATTATTTTCCCTTACATGAAGATGTAGTATCCTAAGGTAAAAACGAATATCTAAACAGATTACATGACGCGTATCAAAACATTATGGCTTTTCGGGCCGCTTTGAAGAAGAATGTTTGTCATACATTCCGTTTTAATGGGCAAATGTACGGTTACGTACCGATCTGTGTAATGTACTGGGTCGATAGTTCGATGGATAGCTAGCACTATCAATAGCCAGTGTATCTATTATGTTTGCACACAGAAATGCTCAACGTCGATCCGATATTTCATCAGATCGTGTTGTATAAATGTTTGCTAGAGATCCAAATGATACTTGTGTCAACCCGTTCACGGTTATAGCACATATGTAAACACGAGAAATTTCATAACACGCGTTCGTTTGAACGCTTGACTTCAAAGCGTTATAAACGAGTCAATCAAAACGTTATCCCTTAAAGTTGCCCTGACCACCATAGACTTAAAATATACATCGAATTAGTAACATTCCTATTAAGAACACTACTCACTTATTCTTGACAGGTTTCGTTATACTAGGGGTACTGAGTCCGTTAAAAATTATGAGGTAATTATAGAGACGTAAAAAATTGATTGTCAGAAATGCAACAAAAATGTTTGTAGATGTCTCAGAATCTGAAACGGAGAGGTTTAAGAATAATGATAATTTTAACGTCAGAAAATACGTAAGAAAATAGATTTCAATGTACGATATTTCTTAGTTCTCAACTTCGAATATATAGGCTTTACCAGATGTGTTGATCATTATATAGTAAAATACACGGATATAGCCATTAGCCTTTTCCTTAGGACAAAACAGGATGATATAGCTTGGTCGATAGCTTTTAATATACCACTAGCGATCGTGTATATAGCTTAGTAACCAGTTTACTATGTATCGATCACGAGGTTCATTAAATTATTTACCTTTATACATCCGATGAATAAAACACACTGATATATACCCAGGCTTAGAACAAGAAAAAATGGCAGTACAGGTACAGGCTGTCCGTAAAATGTGTTGATGTCCACAGCATCGCCAAGGATAGGTGCTGTGGAAAAGGAGGGAAGGGCTGTTAGTTGGAGGAATCGTCACATAGCAATATTTTTATTTATCAGGATGGGGGAATTTTCATTCACAAAACGTGTGATCAATAAACGCTTTTTTGGCACAATCTATATCATTGATAATGTATTACCCTGTAACCCGAAATATTGGTAGGAACCACTTACTATATATACTACGACAAAAACACTAGACCTGTTGTTTGTCGGCGAAAACAGAATCCACTAAGTGCCGCTTTACGTTAACTCGCAGTATGTAAACAGACCGCTTGTACACGTACCTGGTCGGAGAACGGCACTCCTTTGTATATAATGTAGATACTGACTTAATCGATTGTTGTATGATTAAGCGTGACGTGCCTGGCTGCCATAATTTCCTTATGGTAATGACCCCCGAAACAAAGGTGTATTGGGTATGTACACGACTCCTCTTAAATCTGTATCGGAATTTTATATTACCGACACATTGTCATTTATTACGACAATCGAATCAGTGTATTAACAATGGGATATTTACATTGACACACCTTTATATAATGGTGTGGCGAAGACACTAATAACTATCTAGTGTTTAATGAACCTTCTTCCTAGAGAGCTTCACCTATACTCCGTGTCTCGTCACCGCGCCTCATATCCCGCCTTCTGTAAAGTCTAATATCAACTCAGATATGCACCTATATATTCCACCAATATGAAATAAGACACGTCACCATATATATAATCAACATGATTTCATCCCACCAATCAATAACCTAAGAACAGATAAACATATCATCATGCTCGGAAATCAACTATCATCCAAATAATGAGACCCTTGCCACATCATCATGTCCATACGTCTTATGAGGGCTGATTGGTAAGTTGTAAGCCATGTATTGAAGAACTTAAGCAGGGATGTCCTTTTTCAGCTCTACTATTCCCTCACTATCACTCTAAAGTAAACAAGGCGAGTGGCTTTTACACAATGGAGAAACAAATCGCTGAAAGAACAGTGATTCAATACTTGCAAAACATAGGTCTAGAACCCAAGGATATCCATACTGATATGGTAGCGACACTAGGGAATGGTGCCTCTTCATATGCTGCAGTTAAAAGGTGGGTGGCGGAATTTAAGCGTTACAGGTAGAGCCTTGGGGATGACGACCGCCTTGGAAGGCCTGTCATTGTTGCGACCCCAGAAATTGTCTATAAAGTCTATGATAATGTTATGACTGACAGGCGAGTACACAGAGATATATAGCCAGTACAGTTGGGATATCACAGGAAAGAATACTTTCCATTCATACAGAAGACCTTGCAATGAGAAAGCTCTCAGGCCGTTGGATACCAAGACTTCTGACAGTTCAAAAACAAACAGGCGGACTTTCCTTTGCTAACCCGAACCTTTTAGAGGCAGATCCTGCTAACTTTCTGCAGAGGTTTATGATGAAACCTAGGTCCATCATTTCGCCCGAGAGGTCAAACAAATCTACACCACGGAAGCACCGCGGTTCACCCTCGCCACAGAGGGCAAAGCCTCTTCCATCTGTTACAAAGGTTGTGGCCTTGGTTTTCTGGGAATCTGATGGTATTCTGATGGTAGATTATCAGCAAAAGTGACAAGCAATCAATGGCACATGCTATGCATCACTTCTTTAACAGTAAAGAGAAACTGTTAAACTCAAGCGCCGCTGAAAACTCTGTAAAGGTGTGTCGTTACACCAGGTCAATGCCTGATCCCTCCCCAGCAGACTTTCATCTACATCCAAAATTGAAAAAGGCCATTTCTGGAACCCACTTTCGGTCAGACGGTGACGTCATACATACAGTGGAAGACTTTCTGAACGGTCAAGAAAAGGACTTCTTTGAAAGTGGCAATGAGGCCCTTAAACATCGCTGGTAAAAGTGAATAGATACCGAAAAGGATAATGTTGAAAAATAATGCATATGTCCGCCAAAAGTCAAACCCTTACATATGAGGCCCACAACTTATCAATTAGCCTTCGTACGTTCAACTAACGAGAAACTACACCAGACAAAGTGGTAGTGCAGAGTAGCCAGCCTATTGTAGTATGGATGATGAACTAGTACTTATCCCTATTTTAGTATAGTTGATGAGCGAGTCGCTCTTAAAGCATCAGGGAGAGGCGAGTATCCAGTATATTCACTCTATTGAAAAATATTGATCATGAAGGACTATTCACTCCATTGTAGTACTGGGGATTAATGACTATTCACTCTAATGTAGTATTGAAGATTAAAGACTATCCACTCTTTTGTATAATTGGAGATTAACAAGTACACAATCTTTTGTAGAATTGGAGATCAACAAGTATACAATCTTTTGTAGAATTGGAGATTAACGAATATCCAATGTAGTGTAGTACTAGAGATTAACGGGTATCCAATCTATTGTAGTATTGGAGATTAACGAGTATCCAATCTATTGTAGTATTGGAGATTAACGAGTATCCAATCTATTGTAGTATTGGAGATTAACATGATGTGTTATTGCTGCTTCTGTCGTTATTACAGACTGCTGTCAATGTAAGTTTGATCGGGTATATATACAGATCTGTAGACCGTGTATACATATTTCCACAGCTGAAACTGTTGATGGAAATCGTGTCGTTATAGTTTAGTAAACGGTTTATGATATTGTGTCTAGTTAATTATTTACCTGTTGTACACAAGAGTATACATTACATCCTATTGATTACTGATAGTATTCTGTACATGTCTACCTCGGTTTATTATCTCTTACTTCCCTATCCACGCGACTTTTTCTAATTAAATCTGACTTCCCTGTGGTCATGCCTCTATGTTAATTAACTCATACTTACCTGTCCTCATGGTATTGTTAAACAAGTTGATGATTCAAAAATACTATGTCTTTATCGTTAACAGTGCCTGTAATCATGTGTTTGTATATTGTTATAAATCTTTTAAGTTATTTCTTTAACTCTATCCGATGAGTCAAATGACGTAAGGTAATAAAGAACTTGAACTCGACCTTATCCGGAAACGATGCTGATGTTTTGAAGTGGTAATATAGCTAGATGAAACTCCCGACTGGGTACGTTCGACATAACAGGAAGAAGAACAGTGACACTCGTTATATGACTTTATAACTGACAAAACCACTTTTTAACTGTATATCGATATAGTTTTTTTTTCTCGGTCCGATTTTACAGGTGATTAAAACTCTCCGTACTTGGTTGTTTTATGTACCACACAGGTATATATAAAATGGGAATATTACAATCAAACGGACTTGAAATCCATTAATAACGAAACATAAGACTGATCGAAGTTCAAGTGTTTGATGTCAGACCTGGTGAGGAATGTATATTGGTTTTCTGTGTACATGATATCGATCTACACTCAAAGAATATGTCACTCAGTTGGTAAAAGAAAAA